ACTGCAAGTGTAAATAAGCTCTTACTATCCAAAGCCCCCTATAAAGCTGCTTTCACACTGATGCAATATGGTTTAGCAGGACAGGAGCCTGCGCTACAAAAGGAAGTATTACCATATGCAGTTCCTGCTCTATTTGTGGCTGGTATATCCGCATGGCGGGACAGGAGCCTGCCCTACAGAGGAAGCATTGGCTCATGAGGCTCCTGCTTTCTCCACGGTCACCTGCTTTCTCCGCTGCTGGCGTTGGTTCAATGCACTCTGATGCCCTGGGATGGCAGGTCAGCAAACCCAGATTGTGAGCAACGAGTTGCCAACCCCAGGCATGCATTTCCCTGGTTTGAGGTTGAGGGCCACATCAGAGGGCTCCAAGTGCCACAGATTGAGCACCCCTGTCTTGCATCTTGGTCAAAGCATCCACAGGGCCATTTACTACACAGAGCACTAATATCTTGTTCATATCCTCAACTCCAAGAGGAGGCACACCTGCCAAATCCCAGAGGCAGCACAGCCAACAATGCTATACCTGGCCACCTGGCTAGGGGAACATGGAAATTGGGGAGCAAGGTCTAGGCATCTATCTACTGGTTATGCAGGAGAGATCCAACCAGCACCCCACCACCTCCAGGTCTCTACGATACATTTTGCTACACCACCTCATGCATGTTATAAATTTTTTCATACCAATTTTTTCTGTTTAAATATTTTGGATGAACTTGACTTGGAGGCTTTTTACCAAAGAGGCAATTGTAATAGCCCTCTTTCAGGATCCACTGGAAATTGGAGGACCCACCCACCTTATGTAAATCAATAAAGAGTATTGGCATAGTACCGTGAAGTTAGGCAAAACATGTCTATCTACATGGAAAATTCGAAAAGATATGGGCAAGTTGGTTAGATGTTCCTGAGCTTACACCTGTGGACCTGACCATGGATAGGCTTTGGAGGGATAATACCAGGTGAAGGGTGCCATCCATTGACTTGATCCCTGTAAAATCCTTGCCTTGTCTCTGCACTGTTTTAAGTATGTCTGCTCTGGACATGTAGCTGTGCATAGTATTTGTAAGATTGTACTATTTGAAAGGGCCTAACTTTGGAATATTTCTGGACTGTCGCCTTATTGGGCAGTGTAATGTATGACTATGTACTGGTTCTCCTATTCAATAAAGTTTTGTCTCTGGATAAAATATTTTCTGTTTACCAATCTGTTAACAGGGGGGAAGTTCAAGGCTACCCCCAGATTTTCATCAAGTTGACTTACTGCTGTGTAGTCGAACTAGGCTATGAAATTAAATCTCCTATTTAATTTGTGTTCACAAAACACAAACACAGCTTAATGATTTGCTATGCTAGCTCATACAGTTTTGCATAAGTCTTCAATCAGAAAAATAACCCATTCAGGTGAATAGGGAAGTACTGCAAATGCCTGGAATGAACAAGGTTGCAGGACGTTAGTTCAGCAATTACTGGGTTTGAACAGGTGGTAAGGAGGTGTCACATCGTCTTTTCATTGCCTATGAAACATCTCTGGAAAGCGATTTGAATATGGATCACTTTTCAGAGACATTGAAGTTTAGATGCAAGTCTAAGCATAGCCTTAGGCTTCATGCACACTAGGGTTTATCTAAGCCCCTAGAAGCTGTTATTAGCATTTTTCTTTCTGCTCCTAGAAGCTAAGTAGTGTTATCCTATGTGTCCATGCACAGTACTTTAGGCTATTAGCGTTTTTTGAGCTTTAGTGTCTAGGAGCAGATAAAAAATTGTTGTTGTAGAGTTTTTTGAGCATTTTTTATAGTTTTTCTAGCTTTTTTTTTCTACATGCACTGAAGAAACGCTACTAAAACTCCGATGCTCCTAAACGCTACTAAAACACTAATAAAAAATGCTATTTTGTCCAGTGTCTTTTCCAGCATTCTTTGAGCTTATAAAAAAAGCTAGTGTGCATGGAGCCTTACAGTTACACACACACACACACATATATATATATATATATATATATATATATATATATATATATTTTAATTGGCATTTCTCTCTATTCAAAAAAGTTTTGTTATTAGTACTCAGCCTCTCCATGCTCCAGTACTACCCTCCATATCTCCATGTCCTTTTCCATCCTTCAATGTTGGTCCTTTTTTAGGTTATATGACAGAGCAGCGCTCACACTTTATTATGTAAGTGCCATTCTGTACTAAAGACCGGAAGGAAGAAGAAGAGGAACAGGACCAAGCTAATCAAAACTGTCATTGTCCTCAGTATTGTTATTTCTGTCAATTTTAGTGAAGCAAATTTCAGCAAAAAGCTCCTTTCAACTAACTTCCTGGACGTATATGAGAACAAAGGACGTCCCATCGGCTGCACTCCAAACAATCCACTTTATTGTACAAAGATAAATCATGACTAGTGTATAAGAGATATGCTAGTTAAGACCCCCACACCACTGTCTCTCTCTGTCTCTCTCTCTCAACATACCCCCTTAAACATACCAATAAAGAAAAAACAAAACACTGTTGGAGTAAAAAATGGCCAACATGGCCTTTTATTAACAATTCAACTTCAATACACAAAAACATTCCTTAAAACAGAAACATACAGGAGAAGTTGTTGGTCTTCAAAGGCACCAAACAAAACCGATATCCCACTGCGAAACGTATATTATAACTAGGTCTCCAGCCAAAACGCACCAGATCGGAGACAAAACATACCATCCGCAGTGCAGAACCTCCACCTTCCAGTTAAACCTCAGTTAACCGGAATGCACCACCGATGGGTCCCAACCATTCGCTTTAGCTTAATAGTATGTGTCACCTGAAAAGTCTAACAACTGCCGTCGGGAACCAGAACCAGGAATCGAAAACACCCAAACGAACCCCAAGGGAGGGTAAGAGGAAAGCTCACTCCACCGCTGCTGCTCCTGCACTGAATTGACCGACCCCCCCAACCACACCCCAAGGTGTTGAAGACCCCATCCTGCACACCCATCACCAATCAGGTAACCTGCACATTTGCTAACTCCCACCTTTTTTCTTAACCCTTTCCTGTCTTTACTACCCCCCTCTTAACCTAGTCATGTCTGCCCCACTCTCTTTTCTCTTTTATTTCTTTTTTTGCTACGGGCATCTCTATACAGATAGTGGAAATACAGTGGGGGACTGGCAGGTAAACGCGTTTCATGCTAAAGACGGTGCATATTCACTACCCCTCCTGGGCTAGCACCTACAGGAGGAGTTGTGCTTGAATATTGGGAGTCTCTCTACCATGGGCAGCGGTAATACATATCCTGGACCTGTACCTGTGTCATAAAATGGCAGATTGTCCTCATTATTTTATTAAGTTTATTTTCATAGAATGAAAACAAAACAGTGAAAACAGTCATATAACAATGTAAATCAACATAATGCAAAAAATGATGAAATGTACAAACAAGAAAACTAAAAAGACACAAAGAACACCAAGTGCTTACATACTTCTATACACATGGGTTTTAATGACATTGGTGATGCTCACAGCTAGGTTCGAATAAGCCTATATAGTTTGCCTTATGAAAATAAACTGCAGGACACAGAGGTGAACTGATGACATAGGAAATAATGAGAACACCTACTTGAAATGCATTTTAATGCAGTAAAATGAACAAGTTGTATAGTCCTACCATCAGCTATGTATTATACATAGATCCATTTGGTGTACCAATGAACTCCTTCCCCAACTCTAATGAATAAACTTTGCAAACCAGGAAGAAACAGTCAACTGACAAGAACATTGCAATAAAAGTTCAGTTCCAGATAACTTATGAGGTCATGGTAATTGTTATTATTATTTATTTATTTTTATTTCTGAAAGAGGTTTTCCTTTATCACATAATCCATTCACATCACCTTGTTTTTTTGCTTTGTTTGAGATGAAGCCTTGCTGCATTCTATAGGTATCTTCAGGGATTATATATCGCAGCTTGTGATCCCCGAAGGTGGTGTCATGCTCAGAGCTGTCATTGTTTTACTGCTCTTTTCATGAAGAAACTGCCAGTCCATCAATCAGTAACCTTGTATTCTGCTCTAATAATAGCTGTACCACAAACATACAATTCTACTGAAGCGTATGACATGTGAGTCTAAGCTGTGTGGTTGCTAAAGACTGCTTTTAAACACCAACAAACTCTATACATTCTACTATGTAACATGTGGTGGGCTTTATGGATTTGAATTTTAGATAATTATGTAACCAGATTTGATATTAAAAAATACAAGTCTGTAATACCTGACTTTTCTGCAGGAATGTCAAGTTTTTATTTGTCAATCTGTTTGGAAAAAAAAAATAAAGTTTTTTTCTACAGTGTATTAATTGCTCATTTTCTAGTGTAAATGGAAGAATTCAAATGAACTGTTTTTCTTTGCTAAATCTGCCATACATATGGGATGCGCTGCATTCCATGAGCAGGGCTAGGATTTATGAAGTCTTGTCTTTAACACATTTCTGATCGCAGTCTGTAAATGGTGCCCAGGTACAAGGCTCTAATTGTTGAACTAGGAGTGCTTTACCTGTGTGTGCACTTCTAGTTATAAGACAACCCTGTTACTGACAAGTCCTGGTCTCAACTAGTAATCTTCTCCTGGGCTGTGCTAGACATCTGAGGCAGGGTTACTCTTCACACACCTTGTCTCCATCAATGCCCTGGGACAAACCCGAAGTTGTCGTCAGGGATTACTCAACCTTAAGGCGAGCCTCTACTCTTAGAGATGAATGTACACCACGTACATTTGAACAACAACTTTTCTCCAGTTAACTCTCAGGTCCCCATGTAAATGTACATCTTCCCACTGTATCTCGCAATTAGGTGGGCCGTGCTGAACACTGACCACAGCCACCTGACCAGCAATTTCCACTACCAATCCAGGTAGCAACATGGAACCCTGTACGGGCTCCAACGTGATCTTGTCTTTAACTCTTGAACTCCTGTACCTCTGTGCAGGATGGGGACCTCTGCAGTGCAGTTCCACTCTGGTTGCTAAGGCGTAGGGAGTGCTAACACTATCTCCCTCATGGCTAGAGGCAAGTCTACCCAAAAGAGGTGTATGTTTCCAACAGGCCACTTGCTGACTGTACCTTTGTTGCTGTCAGGAATGTCTAGAGCTCCTGTTCCTTGATAGCTGCTGGTCTCATTTCAGCATCCTGGTTTTGACTGTGATATATTCTCCCTGTCTGTCAGTCCACCTGCAAGGTGATTGATGTGGCCAGTCTCTGGTTGGAGATCAAACCTGCTTTAAGCCAGACAAGCCTGCAGTCTCATGTTTGTGATAGTGTTTGTAACACATGCTCAAGCTCCTTGTTTGTCTGCCCTATCTGCTGGTTTGGATTCCCTTGTTGACGGTTTTGATTCCCTTGTTGACGACCTTGGATCGAATATTGACTACGCTCAGAACGCTGACTGCCTCTTTAACTATAGATTTGACTCTTACTATTCTAAATCTTGTTTGCCTTGTACCTGGACTGTCATTGAACCATTCTGCCTGTCTGGCAACTGCAAGTACCTGTTTGCTGTGTTTCGTTTGTGCCTGCCCAGCATGCTAGCCAGGCACTATAGTATTGTGTATAAGACCTGGTTGCCTTATTGGAAAGGGGGTTTCTATAAATGAAGAACACAGAAGCCAGCTACTGCATAGTGTCTGACCACCTACGTTAAAGGTAAGCATGACAGTTGCCCATGGTAACCACATGTATAAATCACAGTAAGATGATGTTTTACATGCTGGCTCTTCATACCCCATGTGCTAGTGACCCAAGCTGTAGATTAAGTGTGGAATTGTGCTGGTTACTTGCATTGCATTCCTTCTAAGAACTTCAGACCAGACAAAGGGTAACGTTTCAACATTTTACTGTAGAAAATCATGCACAGTACATAAGAGTACAAAAGCAGACAGGTCAGTCCAACAGAACCTAATAAAACCATTTTTATCCTTAAGTCCCTTGTCATAGGCTATGTGTTGCCCCGGTGTACCTGCAAATGTAGAGTCCATGTGAGTAAAGGTCCATTAGTGGCATTCCCCAGTAGCTGGTATCTTCGGGGAAAACTTCAAGTTGGACAGCTTTCACAACTTCAGGCTGCTTCGTGGTTGAAGGACTAGCACCAGGCTCTCGGATTATGGGCCTGAAACACGGACTCTGGGCTCTGGACCACTGGCCCCTTTTATATGCACAGGATCAGTGGGTCGGACTGAAGCCTCCTGCCAAAACCAAAAACCTGGGAACAGAAATTAACTATCACCCTCCTGTCCGAGAGAGCACCTAACTAGCAAATTCTAACCTGCGTGAAGGGGCAAAGGAGGAGAGGGATTTTAATCACTAATGGCACTTATATATTTAGATCGAATTTTAAGATGGCACAGTATAAGATGACTAGAGAAAGTAAGAAAATTTACATCCTGACTGTAAGGGTGGGGGGTAGCTGAAAAGTGGACAGAAGAAAGGGTTATTAAACCAAAGAGGTGCAAGGGGAGATAGATGGAAGTTGGAATGGAAAAGGTGGTACTTAAAGCAAAGCAAACAATCAATCAGAAGTAAGGTTTGGATCTAAAAGGGAGGTCATCAGGGAGATTTACTAAAACTGATTCACTCAGAGTCTGGTGCAGCTGTGCATGGTAGCCAATCAGCTTTTAACCTCAGCTTGTTCAATTAAGATTTGGAAATAAAACCTGGAAGCTGATTGGTTTTTATGCAGAAGTGCACCAAATTTTGCACTCTCCAAATTTAGTAAATAAACCCCAATGTGTCTGGGAGGTAGTCTGTCATTCCTTATGGGTCATATCATGTGTGAATATATATGGTGAGATATGTAAGATATTTTTGTACTGTAATTTAAAGTTTAATAAAAATTAAAATAACAAATAAAAGAAAAAAAAGAAAGAAAACCCACAAAAAATGTGCGGGGAATTAAAAAAAATACATAGCTTTGCAGCTTTGCTTGTGCATATTTGGATGAATGATGTCACCACAATTCCATCTCTTTCACTAAGCTAAGTGAAAATCCCCTTTACAAACAGAAAATTCACTTAGCTTAGTGAACGAGGAAAATTGGCATAAAGTCATTCATATAATTGGAGATTTAGGTATGTGCATGATTAAAAGTAGACAGGAATGTCTGTATGAACATCTCAGTAAAATATATAGCAGATTCAAATAATTTTATACATCTCAAATACTACTGTTAGAAGCATGAATAAAGATGATATAATACGATATCAGCAGAAAGAAGATGTATGAGCAAAAGCTTTACAGGATGTTTTTCACTTTATTTCAGGTTCGGAAAGTTGTTCAGCAAGAAGGATTTGATAGAAAGAAACGAGGCTACAGGGACATCAATGACATAGACATCAATATGAACGATCCCCTATTTACAAAACAGTGGTATCTGGTAAGTGAAAGATTTAGTATGTTTGAAATGTTAATGATACAAGATAGTTTTATGCTGATAACAGCGCATTTAGTATGCCAGTATCATACACCTGACAAAACTGTGTATCAAGGTGCATGACTATTGCCAAGCTCAGTGTAATATATGCAAATAATACTATTTTCTGTGTAAATTTCTTATCTGCTTTTAAACTGTTCTCTTAGTATAGCAGACAATTCCTTTCTTGCACAGTTACATAGTTAGTCAGCTAGTTACCAGATTAGTCGGCACATGTCCATTAAACTCAACCATTAAACAAAAATAATTTAAAATTCTGCATATGAGCCAAACCAGGGGAGGACTGGCAACTCATGGGGCTCCCGGGCAATAGGGGATCATGGGGCCCCTGTGTCCTCGCCCACACTCAAACCACACCCAAAAAAGCCTATGAAAGGTATCAGGGGCATCTCATGGGGCCCCCTACTGACCCTGGGCCCTCGGGCAGTGCCTGAGTGCCGGGATGGTCAGTCCGCCCCTGAAACAAACATACCTGGGTTCAGTTCAGGACAGGTTCAGCAAACATTATTAAAGTTTGGGTGCCAAATCCGAATCCCGTTTAAGTTAAAGGGAGCTAATTCTTAAATAACAGTAATGACCAGTTTCTAAGCTATTAGTGAGGGGTTGTCAAAAAAAAAAGCACATGGGCTGGACACTGCAATGGGGGGCATGTACCAAAGCAAAAAATGTTTTTTTTTAAATTACATTTGAATACTTTACGCTGCACTCCCCCCAGATTAATAGATTAACAGTGCTGCTGTCCAAACATGCCCCCTGTGCTCCTTCACCCAGAGTGAGGCACTCTAATACAGGAGGTGTGTTACTGACCGCCGAATCACCAGGTGAAAACAGAGGGAAAAAAGCCTATAAAAAAGAAAACTAATGCAGACACCACATCTCAGGCTTGGTAAGCTGTAATATATAATATTTTTGGTTTTGAGTTTAAAGTGATACCAAAGCTTTGTTGAAAAAAAAAAAACATATCTATACTTACCAGCTTTGTGCAGTGGTTTTGAACAGAGCAACCTGGATCCTCTTCTTTTCGGGTCTCCTACGGAGCTCCTCCTGCTCTAGCAATGCCCCAAGGGAAAGCCGCTCGCCTTGGGGGCACCACTGCATGCTCATCCCCGAGCCGCTGCTCTATGCATCCAAAAGACACATAGAGTTTCAGCGCAGCCCCACCCTGCCTCCTGCTCTCTCCTCATTGGCTCACTGGCTGTAATTGACAGCCAGTGGGCTCCCGCTGCTGTCTCAGCCAATGAGAAGGAAGAGTCCCCAGACAGCAGAGGCTGTCGAGAATGTTGCTGATCGGAGGGGGGTCAGGTAAGGATTGGGGAGCAGCTGGGGGGGGGGGGCTGCACACAGAAAGGTTTTTTACCTTCATGCACAAATTACGTGATGGTAAAAACAGCTTGAGGCTTTAGAACCATTTAATATCGCTTTAATGTGAACAGCTTTACACTGAGGTTACTTTATTAGGAATTTATATATTTATAGACTGTAAGGTGATTATATTCTCCCACCTTACCTCCACTTCTCAAGGGTAAATAATCCAGTACAGCTAATCTTCCATATAATGGTTGAAGTGAACATTTTCTGTTCCAAGAAAATCAGTCCCACGCAGGGATAGATAGATAGATAGATAGATAGAGAGAGAGAGAGAGAGAGAGAGAGAGAGAGAGAGAGAGAGAGAGAGAGAATCACTACTACTCTTTGCATTATTAAAGTGAAATTCCAGGCTATACCTAACTAATCTTATAAATGCTGCCTGCCCATCTCCTTACACCTGTTCTGATGGACCTGTGTAAGGCTGCCCATACGTTACACAATTTTCTTATACAATTTTGCTTTAGATTTACCAAAACCATATAATATGAGGTCAAACATAAACACTGTCATTTTGTATGCAATCAGGCAGGCCCTTGCAGTATATTCTTGAAGGTAAATCTAAAGGAAATGAAACAAGACAATTGTATAATGTATGGCCATCTTACGAAAGTCAGTGACCAGTCATGTGATCCAGCTGCTCTGTGTCAGCCAACGGTGGCTGCAGGGGATTGGATGGAGCACCGACAATGGATAAGTCATAGGAGCATATGGGAGACATTACCACTCCTCTCCCAGGCATTACCAGCAGTTGGTGAGTGCTCTCTCCTCTCCCCTGCAGCTGCCACTGGCTGACACATGGGAGATCACAAGACCAGATAAGAGTGGCCTGAAAACAGAAAAGTACATACATCTTTCTTACACACGTTAGTCAGCATACATGTAAGAAGGGAGGAGGGAGCATTTTTTAGATTAGTTAGATATAGCCTGGAGTTCCACTCTAATATGCTTTTAGATATTACAAGTGTAGGCGGGGATGTTGTGAGCAGAAGATAAGTTATGATGATAATAATTATGTTGGCAATAAATCTGCAAGAAATTAAAAACTAGCCTCACAGCTGGCTTATAGGCAATAACCAGGCGCGGACTGATCATTTGGAAACTCGGGCACTGCCCGAGGTCCAGGGGTCAGTAGGGGGCCCCATAAGATGCCCCTGGTACCTTTTTCATAGGCTTTTTTGAGTTTGGGCAAGGACACAGGTGCCCCATGATCTCCTATTGCCTGGGGGCCCCATGAGTTGTCAGTCCACCCCTGGCAATAACCTTGAGACTTGACTAAACTGCCAGGTGTCTGAGGGTTGCATCCCAACAGGTAAAACTGAATCTGATGTTAATGACAAAAAATTACTAAACAAGGGGGAGAGAACTCCATTGTTTCCAGAAATACAAATATAGGACCAGACAGATGGGCCTGATATATTAAAATGTGAAGTAGAGTAAAGAGAAGGGAACACAGACGTCCAATCATGTGCAAGGGAAAAAAAAGCTTTTCATGGCCCAATTAAAGTTTAAAGTGAACATTTCTCTGCACTTCACCAATGTATATAGCCCAACATTTGATGCTCTTTGAGTTCCCAATGGCTTACTTCTCTTTGTTGGTATCTCCAATATGCCTGGGATGCAGGAATACCTCTAGGCAAGACAAGAGGAAACTGTCTACAACACGGGTGTCAAACTGACAGCCCTCCAGCTGTTTCCAAACTACAAGTCCCATGAGGCTTTGCAAGATTGACAGTTACAAGCATGACTCCGAAAGGTAGAGGCATGATGGGAGTTTCGCAACAGCTGGAGGGCTGCCAGTTTGACACCCCTAGTCTACAACTAACCGAAATTGGAATAGACTTTCACAGGAGCTAGTTCTAGCCAACTCTGCAGATTGTTTTAAAAAACATCTGATTGTATGTCTAAGTGACCTAAAGATAATTGCTATTAAGCTGGCCATACACTCATCTTTTTCTTTTGTTCAACCCGCTGACATTGAGCCTGCGTTCACATTTGTGCGGTGCGATATATTGCATGTGTTTCGCACAGGAACCGCACCGCATTCCTGTGCAAATCACATGCGAATTCTGTGTGGTGCGATTGGAGCCATAAATTTTTTATGGCTCAAATCGCACTGCATCCGCAATAAAAAGGGGCAGGACCCTTTTTTTGGTCCGCACTAGAATCGAATAGCATCGGTATTCACACCTATGCGATCTGATTCTGCACATCGCACCGCGTTTTCAGGGTGTTGTTAACTTAACACACACACCCGCAGTAGTTCGCATGAAACGGTGCGATTGTGATGCGTTGTGGAATTCGCACAGAAAAAGCTGCAAATTCCACACCGCATCAGTGTGAACCCAGGGTTAGTGTGTGGATGGAGGAATCCCACCCACTAAGCCTTTGTATTTTGACAGCAGGGATATTGCCCCCCTGGTAGAATACACTCATCAGCAATGCCGGCTATAACTGGTGGCACTGACCGATAGAAAATTTTCGATGCTGAATGGCCGAATTTCAATCCACATATGTCCTGCTTTAGCAATAATGGTAATTTGCATGGTAGACTGTTCATGCAGGGAGAGGACAAGGTAGGACTTTTTTTTTACCAGGGGCAAAAAATTGGACCATGCTTTATATGCTTCACTGTGAGAAATTGTGCATCCTGCTCCTTTGAATTTTCTCATTGCGAATGAAAAACAAGTGTCAATCACCCCACTAATGATTAGAAATGAAGAATTTTGAACAAAATTCTACTAGTGTATAGCCAACTTATATTACTTAACTCCTTTACTGTGAACTGGATGTCTCTTTAGGAACACTAGATGTTTGATCTTGATGTTGATTAAGGCTAGGTTCACACCTATGCATTTTGCGTGTGATCCATTTCTGCAGCACGTTTTGTGTTTTCATACATGCGTTTTTGATGCGTCTTGCAGTTTGTTTTTTCTTGTTGCTAGGCAGATTAAAACGCATCAAAAACACTTAAAAAACGCAGCTTTTCTGCAGTGTCTCCATTGAAGTCTATAGAACCAAAAATGCAACTTTTTGCGTTTAAAAACATCCCTGACCTTTTCCAAAAAATGCATTGGGTGAAAATGCTGAGATGTGAACGTGTCCTATAGGAAATCATGTTAAATTGAGTGTAGTGTGTTTCTCCAAAACACTATGGAAAATGCTTCGGTGTGAACCTAGACTAATAGACACTTCTAATATTTGAATTACTGATGATGTTGAGATACTCTATTTGCAGCATACACACATGTCACACATCTACAACAACTGTGTCCCTGTCCTGATCTGTGCATGACTGATGTAAGCACTGTTTCATTTTCTCTGGATGCTCTCTTCTCTTATGTGACATCATATCGATCTTTTCATTTTATTTGTCAGATCAACACAGGTCAGGCAGATGGGACTCCAGGTCTTGATTTGAATGTTGCTGAAGCCTGGGAGTTGGGATACACGGGGAAGGGAGTTACCATAGCAATTATGGATGATGGTAAGCACTTCACTGAATGTCTAGAGAAGCTGAATAAATTCAAAGATAAATTTAAGAAGCAACAAAAGTCATTTTTTATATTTTGTTTTCTGCGCATGACATCTATGTATTAGTTGTCCCTCTAAGGAATTGTATATGTTCACTGTGCCTTACATACTTTACATTTAGCAGACATTTTTCCACAATGTGAATTACTGATCAGACATGAATATATAGACGTGCCATAGAAATAACATAGTCAGTGAACATGTAGGTGATCGCCTCCATTCTGCACCATGTGCCCTCTAGTGGGAACACATACATCCTGACAATTTGTGATGTCATGTTGGGCTTCATAAAAATGCAAATAGGGATTCCTGTTCTTATTCCCAATTCACTTATAGGGCAAATAGGTAAACCTACCCCACATACTGTATTATGCCATGGACACCAGTTTGCTGTTGTCAGATCAGTGAAAGGTTTTCTTGTAAGAGGCCATAAGTGCTATTGGAGTAACATAACTTCTCAGGGTACTTGTCCTGGACTGGATTTTCAGGTCCTGAAGTGTTATGGAAGTCTAGCACTGTATTCACCAGTGGTATAAGAAAATCGGTCGGAGTAGTCACATGTCAAAAGGGTCTTTGATGCAGGACCTTCACATTACTACCAGGATCTTCATATTACTGCCAGCACCTTGTGACTACAACCTGCTCTGAAATGTAATTACTACTCGGACACAAATGTTTTTCCACCTGGTTACAGTTGTGGTCATCTCAACTGCAAAAACGTGCCACCAAAGTTATAATTGTCCTGCAGAAAACAGGAATATGGGTAATGAGCTCTAGAACGAGGAGGCACTTGATGAGTTTGAGCAAGTTATGTATAGTGCTGGGAAAAAGAATTTACCCCCTTCCAGTTTTTTTTTTTCATATTTGTCACTTAAAGTGTTACTAAACCCATAACAGTAAAATCAGTCTTTTTATGCAGTAAAGCATGCTTGTTATACTCACTAAGGGGTTAATTCTCTGCATTGTGTAAAAATGCTGTTTTATCCTGACTTCTCTGATCCTCCCCTTCTTCCAGTGCCCCCCTCTTATCTCCTGATAAGACATATCCTGTGGAGACACTCTGCACATGGTCAGTTTGGTGTGTATTGCTAGAGTTTTTTTTTTTTTTTTTGGAAGAGTGCATGTGATCAGCACAGGGCCAATCAGCACTGCCCAGAGGTCAAGGGTTCTGCAACCTCCTGGAGCAAAATTAAAATTCCTCCTACAAGCTTTAACCAGTATTGGGCCAGACACTGATAAACGTCACAAGACTATTCTAACTGCTGATGAGAAGAGATATTTAGCAGTTTTATATTTACTAAAATAATTGCATTTCCATGTTCTGTGCACTGTGGGAGACCAGATATAGTGCATGCAGGGTCCTGGGTTTAGTAACACTTTAAATGATTCAGATCGTTAATATTACACAAAGATAACCCGAGTAAATACAAAATTCAGTTTTCAAATGATGATTTAATTTATTAAGGGAAAAAACGCTGTCCATACCTGCCTGGCCCTGTGTGCAAAAGTAATTGCCCCCTAAAGCTAAGAACTGGTTGTGCCACCCTTTGCGGCAACAACTGCAATCGAGCATTTGCGACAACTGGCAATCAGTCTTTCACATCACTGGAATTTTGGCCCACTCTTGTTTTAATTCAGCCACATTGAAGGGTTTTCAAACATGAATGGCCTGTTTAAAGTCATGCCACAGCATCTCAATCGGATTTAAGTCCAGACTTTGACTAAGCCACTCCAAAACTTTAATTTTGTTTTAATTTTTTGAGACATTCAGAGTTGGACTTGCTGGTTTGTTTTGGACCATTGTCCTGCTGCATAACCCAAGTGCGCTTGAGGTTACGATGAACATTCTTCTTCAGGAGTTTCTGTAAGAGTGCCGAACTCATAGTTCCATCAATTATGCAAGTCATCCAGATCCTGAAGCTACAAAACAGCCCCAGGCCATCACACGACCACTACCCTGTTTGACTGTTGGTATGATGTTCTTTTTTATGATATGCTGTGTTAGTTTTAGGCCAGATGTAACTGGATGCACACCTTCTAAAAAGTTCAGATTTTGTCTCATCAGTCCACAGAAAATTTGCCCAAAAGTCTTGGGGGTAATCAAGATTTTTTTGGCAAATGTGAGATGAGCCTTTGTGTTCTTTTTGGTCAGCAGTGGCTTTCGCCTTGAAACTCTCCCATGGAGGCCATTTTTGCCCAGTTTCTTTCTTATTGTTAAATAATGAACACTGACCTTAACTGAGGCAATTGAGGCCTGCAGTTCTTTAGATGTTGTTCTGGGTTCTTTTATAACCTCTTGGATGAGTCGTCATTGTGCTCTTTGAGCAATTTTGGTAGGGCAGCCACTCCTGGGAAGGTTTTACACTGTTCCAACTGTTCTCCATTTGTGTATAATGGCTTTCACCGTAGTTTGTTGGAGTCCCAAAGCCTTAGAAATGCTTTGTAGCCCTTTCCAGATTGATACATGTCAATTACTTTGTTTTTTATCTGTTCTTGAGTTTCTTTAGATTGTGGCATGATGTGTGGATTTTTAAGATCTTTTAGCGTGCTTCACTTGTCAGTGATTTCTTGATTCAACAGGTCTGACAGTAATCAGGCCTGGGTGTGGCAATTTAAAATTTAACTCAGCTTTTGCAAAAAAATGTGGTTAATCACAGTTCGTTCATGATTTAGCAAGGGGGGTGAGAGGGGGGCAATTACTTTTCATATAGGGCCAGGCTTGGACAACTTTTTTCCTTCACTTAAACT